GCTTTGTTGCCAGGCTGGAGTGCAGTGGCACCATCTCGGCTCACTGCAACCTCTGCCTCCTGGGTTCAAGCGATTCTCCTGCCTCAGCCTCCCGAGTAGCTGGGACTACAGGTGTGCACCACCATGCCCAGCTAATTTTTCTATTTTTTTTTTTAATAAGATGGGTTTTCACCATGATGGCCAGGCTGGTCCTGAACTCCTGACCTCAGGTGATCCACCCACCTCGGCCTCCCAAAGTGCTAGGATTACAGGCGTGAGTCACCGTGCCCGGCCTAATTTTTCTATTTTTAGTAGAGACGGGGTTTCACCATGATGGCCAGAATGATCTCGATCTCTTGAACTCATGATCTGTCCACCTTGGCCTTCCAAAGTGCTGTGATTACGGGCATGAGCCACCGTGCCTGGCCTTGTTTTGATTTTTGAATCATATAAATAAAAACCTATTTAAAATAAATTTTTAAAAAGAAAGTTTTAGGGTCTTTTCCATGCCAGCCAGCCAGAACCTAAGTAATAATAGAAATAAATAGGCACTGCCTGAGACAGACTAAAAAATGGGGACATTTCCCTTTGGAAGGACAAAGTCGATGTTACATATGATCAAAGCTTCAAACCAATATGAGCAGGAATAAGTGGCTAGGCGCTGCCATGGGGTTCCTCCTTCAAAAAAGAAATATGTACAGGGGTTTCATGCTTAATAAAGTAACAATATTTATTTCATTTTTAGAATTTTTAAAAATAACACTTCTCCTATGAAGAACTCAAGATATATACATAAACTTTTAACATAACAACAAACTTTCTTAATATTTATACTTCTTTTCAAGGAGAGGAGGGAGGGAATATGAGGTAGACAAAAAGGTAGAAGGAGAAGAATGAATGTGAAAGAACTGCATAAGAGAGTGAGGAGAGAATGAGTGAAATACATTCAACAGGCATAGGGCCCACCAACCAATAACAGCAAATCCATCCAGCAAGGGCAAAAGAGAAGTTTTTACCTTGTGATGGATTCATAACCCTTTCAGATCTTACACTCTTCTAGAAGGCAGGACTTGGCCAAGGGCTAAGCACTCCCGATTTTAAGCAGGCAAGCATGAAAGAGGATGGCAGAGCAGGGAAAGACACCTTCCGGCAGGGCCCAGTGGTTGGGAAACACCGGAGTGGTTGAGGAAGACTTGAAGGGGGTCACAGAGGAGTGAGAGGATCAAAGGTGAGGAAAGAACGTAAATGTTGTAGAATCAGAGCCTGAGAAGGATTTGGAAACACCGACGCTGCTGGTGGTGGTAGTGGGGCCTCTAGGCATGGAAATGGGAAGGTAGATGGATGAGCCATTTGTTGGATTTGAGTATTAGAGACAAACGTTTCCTTTCGATTTTCCAGAGAGGGTTGGAGCCAGGATTGGGGCAGGGAGGTGACATGTCACTGAGAAGGAGAAGCTGGCACTGCAGATCTGGACATGAGTAACAAGAGTGGAGCCAACAGGTCAGCAGAGGGCATGGTGCCCAGGGAGTGGCCCAGGAGCAAGTGTCCATTTCTGTGACCTTTAGTTTGAGGACGAGGTTCTGTTTCATTCCTGGAAGGAAATGCTCAAGGTTTCCTCACAAGGAGCCCTGGGGCCATCCATGGCACTGGCATTTTCTGGACAGCAAGGCTTCCTGGGCTCCTAATTACTCCCTGGGTTTTCACCATGACGTGATCACAGACATCTCATAGCTAGCTCCTCTGAAGGACAAATGGCTCCTGTGCCCGCAGTTCTTCAACAAACCAGGTGTAGCCCAACAGTGATGGGTACAAAGAGAGGGAGGTGGAGAAGGGTGTTCTTCCCATCTGTCCCAGTGGGATTCATGCTTCTCAGACGGTAGAAAGAAAACAGAACTTGACCTTTATATTCCTTTTACAGCAAATGGTTGTTCTGGAAAAAATGCAGCAACATCTGAACTCTTCTAAAGAAAAAGAAGACAAAATGATCTAGTGCATCTCTTCCATCCTGTTGAAGATCCTATTTGAAAAAAGGGAGAGAGAGAGAGAAAGGTTTTTTTTTTTTTAAAGTGATAGAATAATCCAAAGTAAAAAATTCAACATAATAGGAAATAGTAACTCAATCCATGCCACAAACAAGCTTCTTGGGTTGCTTTAAGAATTGTATGAGCTTCTGGGGGGTGGGGAGTTGGGGAGAGATAGCATGGGGAGAGATGCCAGATGTAGGTGATGGGGAGGAGGGCAGCAAATCACACTGCCACGTGTGTACCTATGCAACAATCTTGCATGTTCTTCACATGTACCCCAAAACCTAAAATGCAATAAAATAAATTTAAAAAAAAAAAGAATTGTATGAGCTGAAGGACAGTACCTTCCATGTGCCCATATCCTCACATTGCCTTGGAAGTTTGCCTCTGGACATATTTTTCTGTCTGATCATCTTTCCCATCTGGCCTCAAACTCCTGTGCTCAAGTGATTCTCCCACCTCAGCCTCCCCAGTAGCTAGGACCAAAGATGCACACCATCGTGTCTGGCTAATTTTGTACAGACAGGGTCTCACTATGTTGCCTAGGTTGGTCTCAACAAATTGGGGCTCATCTGCAAATTGGGGCACTCTTTTCAGGGCTGATAACCTATTCCCCGGGCTTCCCAGAACACTTTCCTAGTCCTCTCAAAGAGGTGAGTGACTTTGCCTTGAGGCTAGAAGAATGTAGAGAAGCCTGGGCATGGTGACTCCTGCCTGTAGTCCCAGCACTTTGGGAGGCCAAGGCAGGTGAATGGCTTGAGCTCAGGAGTTTGAGACCAGCCTGGGCAACATGATGAAACCCCA